CATATTCACAGACTATCATAGACATTTTTAATTCACGTGCCTTTCGGAAAAAAATTTTGTGTTAATATTTTAAAGATTTTTAATAGAGTGCGTGGTGTTTACGTAAAAATATTGTTTTTTACCTTTTGTAAATTTATATAATTTAGGTTATGAATTTCTCACAAGCCGGAAAAGTGTTTAATACTAAATTGTTATTCAAATTAATTTTAGATTAATTAGTGTTAATTAATTTGTGTTTTCATAATTGAATTATGTGACAATTAATATAGTTGTTTATTTCGGATTTAATGGAATTGTGGAACTTTTATTGCTTAATAGACAATAGTATAGTATAAACTAAGTTTTTAACTAATAAGCTGGGAAACAAGTATAGTTATTAAAAAATTGTGAACATGGGTCCTTCTTCATAATTCAAATTGTTAAAGTAATAATGAAATTAAAAATTAAAAATTAACATTTCTCATGGTTATCTTGAATTCTAAAAATACAAAATTATAATTTTTGTTTTCATGAAATTGTGGCGTTCGGAATCAATGAAAAGCGAAAGAACAGTTTATGAATTCTTTCTTTTTTTTTAATTTGATTGTAATCCGGAAATTCAATTAAAAAAATACGGATATTTTTAATATTTCCATAAAAATAAGGTTAATTGCTTTTTGTTTTTATTCTTAATTCTCAATACTTTGGCTATGCCTATGAAGTTATGAACAATTACAATTAAATTATATGAGCATAGGTACTGCAAGTCCTGTTTTTTTTGTTTTTAAAGAAAATAAGAGTTAATGTCCTCCACATTAAACTTGTTTTATATTGAAACGCATAAAATTTCATTCAAATGTATGACAATGGGTCATTGCATTCTGTAAAGTATTAAAGATTTATGCATTGATATTACGTATACTCTCGTATAACAATGTTGACCTTAGTTTTATATTATTGAAAATTCAAGTTACTTTCAAGTTGATCTTGCTTTCTTCTACATACATGCATATTGATTGCATTCAATGCATATTTTATGGAAACATTAATTTGAATTGAATCTTATGATATAATATAAAGCAAGGTCAGATGAATATCTTTTTGGAAATACCCTTAAACTTTTATACTTGCATGCTGCATATTTGTATGCATTGTGGACAATTTTTATATTGAAAACTTTTTCAATTTTCATTGTGGTCTTTCTTCTTAAATAAATTTTTCATTTTTGGTAATAAGACAAAAATCATAAACTTGTTCTTGTTTCATAAATAATATATGTATACCAAAAATGTTGGATACTATATAAAAGCAGTTGCATAATAAATTGCATCAAGTAGAAATCAAATAAAAATTGAGGAGTGTACAACCCATTAACGTACCTCTAAAGAAAACAAAAGCCTAAATAAATTTTATTTAATAAAAGTTAATAAATAAATAAATTATTTCAAAGAAAATCATATAAAAGAAAGGGTCGGTCAGAAATGTATACAAAACATACAACAATTTTATTAAGTTTATTATTGTTCGCAATTGCAACAACAATTGCTGCTAATATACCAGAACAACAATTACAGCAGGATAATGATGCACCCATAAATGAAAATGTAGAAGAAATTATAAAATCAGAATTAAAATTACAAGCTGAATCAAATAATGATGAAAGTAGTCTACAATCGTCCGCTCATGATAATGTATCAGAGCGTAAAGTACGTACATTAGGTTTTCATGGATTCCCAATATGGGGTGGTTACGGTTATCACAAACATCATCATCATTATCATCATCATTATCCTCATCATGGTTTTCATCATCATCATCATCCCCATTATTATCATCACTATGGACACCATCATTATGGATATGGACATGGCTATGGGGGTTACGGGGGGCACGGATATGGGCATTTCCATTGATTTAAAATCATTTGAAAAAATTACAAATATGTAAAAAGAAAGAATTGTGCACCTAATTTTTTCTATTTTTGTGAAATTTTTAAAAGTTTTCATAATTTTTATTTTTTAATAATTTTTGTTTTTAGTTTTGTAAAAAAAAATATAACAAATGATAAAAAAAATGTAAAAGAAATGATTGTCTTTATTAATTCTCATTAATTTTGAGCTTTTGAGAATATTTTAAAAGTTGAAAGTTGAATGAAAATTGAAACTAATTGTGAAATAGGAACTACCTAGTGTCTGAGTAAAAAATTTATATATAATTCCAAATTGTTATACAAGAATAAGTGGCAGAACTTCATAATAATAATGATTGGGGTTTAAAAAAGCAATTGTGTAAAATGTGCAAAATTAAATACGCATGCAAAAATTTTAACTCTCAGCTGATTTTTTAACTCTCAACAGTTAAGAATTAAGTGTCAACAGTGCATTTAATAATGTGATCTTGTTCCAAACGTTTGTAGCAACCGGTTTGTGAGACAAAAACAATTTATTTTAAAATGTGTAAGAATTAGAAATATAGATTGGTGTTTTATGAAAGTTCTGGCAACCGAGTTTACAGTGAAATTAATTTTGTTAGTTAGCTCGATTATTAATTTAAAATTATGAAATAAAAAATTTCAGGAGAAATCAGAATATTAAGTATGTAAATGTCATATTTGACAAACTGACATCTTGTTAAGAATTTTTTATTTTTACGTCACTTAGTGAGTGAGAGTGAAAAGTGAATTGTGCGAAATTCATTCCTTATTAAATAATTTAATGTGGTCGGTAAAAGTAAACAAAACAACACCGAAAATTAATTTTTTCGTGTAGTGTGTATAATGAGTTGGTAGCCAACACTAAAATTCAATCAATCTTCCTTTCTTCAAAAAAAAAAAACCACTCTTCAATAGTTAAATACAATTTTTTTTTTCGTTATCACAAAATATTCGCTACTATTGTGGTCCCATATATCATAGATTAATTTTCAAGTTTTTTGAACACTATAGTGAGTCACAATAAAAATACCCGAAATTTCTTATAATTGAATTCAGAATTTATGTATATAAAAGATTAAATTTAAGATTCAATTAGAACAAATCACTTAAGGCTAGTATAGTTGAAAGACTATTCTATAAGAGTAAAGTAATTTTTTTTTGTTATAATCTTAAATTTGAAAATTTAAATTATGCGCATTTTATTATTGTTATTATTGGTTTTTGTTGCTGAAATTTTATCAAATCCTAGTGAATTACAAAATAATCGTAATGTTGAAGAACTTGAAACAATTCATAATTTATCTGGTTATGGTGATGAAAACATAAAGGAAAGCAATTTAAGAATACGAAGACAATTTTTTGGACCATATTATAGACCTGGTTTTGGTGGAGGATTTGGTGGTGGTTTCGGAGGTGGTGTTCCATTTGGATTACTTTATAGACCAAGACCATTTCCATGTCATGGTCTAATTTGTCCCAGATAAAATAGTGAAATTTACAAGAAAAAAATGAGAAGTATGTGAATTGTGGTTTTGTAGCTTTTGTGAAGCGATGTTTTTTTTGTTATATAATAAAAGTTAATATTGAAAAAAAATTTGATTCTTTTAATTATAAAATCATTCTACAATATTAAAGAGAATTCAAAGCATTTTTCTACATCTTGTTTTCGATAAAAGCTTATAAGTGCAAAAAAGAGAAGAACTGGTTTTGAATAATTCTATTCCAGATTGAATCTACCCAAAAGTTCAAATTAAAAATTAATTGTTGATCTGATGGTCTTTTCAATTTTCTGTAAGTAAAATTGATTAGTCAAAAAAATTTAATTAGAATATAAAAATCAAAATTTCATTTAGTCTTGCAAAAATCGTCTACAACTACATGGAATTCAATGTTTTAACGAACGAAGAAGGTAAGTTAATAATTTGCGAAGTGGTACACACTACGGTACTTCGTACTTAACGCGAAAAGAGAGCGCACATGAAGAAGAAAAAAATTCTCATTTATCAAGACAACGTACCGTGTCACAAATCAGTGCAAACGATGGTAAAAATGAATGAATTGCATTTCGAATTGCTGCCCCATCCGTCATACTCGCCTGATTTAGGCCCAGCGATTATTGGCTGTTCTCAGATCTCCAAAGGATGCTCCATGGAAAGGGATTTGGATCGAATGAGGAAATCCTTGCCGAAGTTATAGCATATTACGAAGTAAAAAATAAATCGTTCTACAAACATGGTATCGAAAAGTTAGAGAAGCGCTGGAATAGCTGTATCGCCTTAAAAGGAGACTATGTTGATGAATAAAATCATATTATCCAAACGTCCCATTAATTCATTTTTTCCCACATACGAATATTGGCAATAAAATTTTAAGTTTTCATTGAATTACTATGAATGCCATCTGGTTATTTGTGCAAAAGACTGTCCATTCAAAGGAACATAGAAAACGATTTCCATAATGTGTTCGTAATTGCGACCGCTAGATGATGTTAAGACACAGAAAATTTGTATAATCAAGCGCTAGGTCCAACTTTTAATCATTTTAAATGATTTACGCTTTTTTTACGGGCCTGCCAGTTTTGATTTCTTGTTCCTTCACCATGAATATTATGTAATTCTTCGTTCTTTAGGGTCAGAGTAAAACGGATTGCAGATGGAATTTTTTTTATTTTACACACTTTCAAACCAAATTTTTTGAAAATTTTAATCTAATGAACTTAAAATCGCTCAAAACGTGGAATTGTACAATTTAAATCTAAAAAAAGACTTGCTAATTAATAGTCAATTAGAACATAATGTTCTTAATTAAATAAATTTAAATTTAAATTGATCTCATAGGTGCGGAGAAGCTACGATACCACGTTTCAATTGATGTTTTAAACAATTTATAGAAGATGCTATGAGTAATAAATTTTATTTACGACGATTTTATAATTTTAAAAAAGGGGAAATTTGAGAAAAGTGTGAAAATTAGCATGTTCTTATTGTGAATTCGTAAACAATTCATATTTGAACTATAAAAAGGGATTTCTAAAATGAAAAATACATCGCGTTGTTCTGTTTGTCCGATTTAGTTGAGCATTTATAAAATGATTTTTGATGCAAACGTGTTTGTTTACACTTGCATATTTCTCATTATTTTTAATTTTGAGTGTATAAGTTCAGAAGAAAGCTCTGAGGATGGTCAAACTCTTTTGGAAATTGCTAACGATGAACATTTTGATTTCGAGAGTGACAAGGAATATATACGTACTGTTCGTAGAGGTGGGGGTGGTGGGGGTGGTGGTGGTCATGGTGGTGGCGGCGGAGGACACGGTGGAGGGGGACATGGTGGGGGAGGACATGGTGGCGGCCATGGGGGAGGACGTGGTGGTGGCTTCGGTGGGCGGGGAGGTGGTTTTGGTGGAAGAGGTTTTGGCGGAGGTGGTTTAGGTGGACGAGGTTTTGGTGGTTTTGGAAGAGGAAGTTATTCAGGAGGATTTGGTAGAGCCGGATTCGGAAGAGGAGGTTTTATAGGAGGTGGTTACGGGAGAGGTCTTGGAATTATTGGTGGTGGTGCATATTTTCCATTGGCTTTGTATTCTCGTAGATATTATGGATATCCGTATTATTGCAGATATTATAATTATGATCCTTATTATTGTCCTTATTGAGTGTGATATGTATTATAATGTTAAGGATTATCAAGAAATTTTAGTTTTTAGTTTGTATCTAATAAACTTTTGGAAAATTGATTGTTTTGAATTATTTTTAATTTTGTAAATTTGATTCATTACGTATAGGTATGCGAAGGTTGTTTCATTCGGTCTACATACTTATATTTGGTTATATGTGTGCTATAGTGCCAAGTCATTTCATCCTAATATTCACTGCCGACGTATTCATTCAAACAAATAATATTTTATAGTTTTAACAATTTATTTTAGCTAAAAGTTTAAATTAATTTTAAAACAAGTTCAACATTAAAGCAGTGTAACAAGATTTTAGCCATAGTATCCACCTGTTAAAATCAAATTTATTTATTAAAAATTATGTGTAAAAAGTAAATACTTTATGCTTACCGTAACTACCACCAAATTTCTTGAAACCGCCACCAAAACCGCCACCGAAACCACGGCCAAAGCCACGACCAAAGCCACCACCTCCGAAACCTCCACCTCCAAAACCACCACCATAGCTACCACCTAATCCTCCTAAACCTACTCCACCCAAACCTATTCCACCAAGTCCTCCTCCTCCAAGTCCACCAAACCCGCCGCCCCCATATCCACCATAGCCGCCCCCGCCAAGGCCCCCAAGTCCACCAAGACCACCAATACCACCAAATCCACCACCACCGAACCCACCTCCACCAAAGCCACCTCCACCGAAGCCGCCACTTCCAAATCCTCCATATCCACCATATTTAGTACGTGCAACTCTTGGTGACAGATTAGAGTGTTTATTCACATCTTCTATATCCACAAGTGTAATTGGTGATTCGGCTTTTTGTACGTCAGCTATTGGATAGCTTATTACATGTGCAACAGCTATTAATAGTATTAATAATAAACTTATGTGATTCATTTTTTCTTGTTCTATCTAAGTACACTTATTTCGTTTCCTTCAAATTTTTTCAATTATTTTAATTGCAATTTTTCAATCATACTGTGAATCAAAATCTAAAGAAGTCTATATTTATATACAACTGAAATTGATTTTACTTATAATGTAAGACATTCAAATTAGATCCTGTCTGCAAATTATGACAATATTTTTCTATTTTTAAAGACTATGTACCAAAATTTGATTAATGAATTCTTTGTAACCGTGGTATATGAACAAAAAATCTTAGGTAACATTCATTATTTTCGACAGGCGCTATGATTCTAGGATAACGACTTGAATTTTTTGTAAATGTTAAATTAACATGACTTGAAATTTTTTAATAAAATTTTATTCTTTTCGACATAAGACTTGCTAAGACATATTTGTTTGTTATTAGAACAGGTTTTGGTAAAATCTTACAGAACAATCAAGAGAATTGGAAACACTGTACAGTTCATTTCTTGACTTTTAGAGTAAGCCAAAATGATTTGCATGTTGTTAAATTTTATAAAAAATTTATATTTTTTTCTAGAACTTAAATACAGAATGCGGCTAGGAGATGTTCTAAAAACTGCATTCATTTTTAAACAGAAAAAATAAAATTACTGTACTGTGTTTTGAAGTTAATTTAATTTTTCTGCTTTAACCTTATTGTAGTTAATATACTCCAGAAATTTGGTTTGGATGTTCTCATAAAACGCAGTCTTCAGAAAATAAGATTTTATCCGATCGCAGATACTTTACTTACCCTGTAAATGGCTTCAGTATCTAGTTTGAACAAAAAATTTTTATTTAGCCCGTAAATGGCTTTATTCTGTAGCTTGAACAAAAAAATTTTTTACATATTTTGTTATTACAGGATTGGAATTAGTTATGTTTATCCTCATATCACGACGTATTCACCACAAATTTGACGACATCTTAAATAAAAAGCAACCCACCTGTAGAAAAATCTTATAAATAAAGATAAGAATCGGCCGCTGAAATGTCTATTGCATGAGTTAAATTCAATAAATTCCTCATCCCTGCCGCACTATACCAGGGTTAATAAAGAATGTATTTACATAATAATTAAAAATAGCTTCTCAAAAGAACGCACAAGTAATGATCAATTTTATGAATAGCTCAATTTACAATATTTTTGATTTGTGGTAACCACAGCTGAATGGCGTAGTTTAACCCCAAAAGGAGGTTCCCCTAAAATTGTACAGTTATTACAATTTATCGTTGTATTTAAAATACTTTTTTTTTGTCATAAAAGCTTTAATATTTCATTTGAAATCAAAGTTCTGCTCTTTGATTCTAATTAAGATTAATAACAGAAATGGAAATATAGAAGTAATAGAAATATTTTACCATTTTAGGTGTGATATCACACTTTTATTTTTGGAACTTGTAAAATATCTGAATTTTTTGTTTTAGTAATATTTAAGGAAACAACATAATTATGTTGATTGTAATTAATTTTTTTATTTTTTATTATTAATAACATAATTTGTATAATGCTGTAATTGAAACTATTTTTTAGAAATTGAAAACGACATGCCAAAAATGGAATTTTACTGTTCTATGATTAAAAAATTAAGTAAATTAATAAACTGTTAATTTAAAATTTTGCGTAAATTTAGTAAAATTAATACTCGTAAGCAGCGCTGCCCATTGCATCATATACATCATATACATATTTTTGCCCGACATCGGGCGCCATTTATACATTAAACATAACACATACCCTTCTAATAACCAAATTAAGAAAAACATTAATTTTTTTTGGAAAGAAAATTTTATTTTAAATTAATTTGAACATACACCTTAACTATTTCTTCTTTAAAATATTTATTTAAAAACTAATTATAGTAAATTTATAAGAAGAATCCGAAAATTTTAATTTTAACCCCAATAGAATATTGGTTTACTATAAACATATTTACTATAAAATGGTTGATAATATCTATTATTATAATTTGTACTATAATAATAAGGATAACCATAATTGTATCCATAATAATTACTGTTATATCCATAATTACTGTATCCATAATTTTTCCAAAGAAATCTTTTTATTCTATGTAAATTTTTTCCATTTTCCAAATTATTTTCAATATTTTTCAATAAAATATTTTTATTTTTATTAATTGATGGTGCTCCCATAACATTATCCAAATAAAATCCAATATATAAGAAAATTAATAATAATGAAAAAATATTTTTTAAATTAATTTTTAACATTTTTATTTAAAAAAACAAAAATTTTCCGACAATTTCCAATAATATTTTTAATGGAAAGTTAATAACTTTTACGATATAACCGAAAAATTTAACTTTAGATTGTGAATTTTAATGAAATATTAAACTAAAAATTATTTTGATTTTAGAATTTATATAACAAATATATTAAGAGCTCTCTAATAGAATGTAATTGGTCAATAATTTCTCTTTGTATTATTGAGCTATCAAGTTCAATGCCACATGCAATTAAAATTAAAAATTGAAAGTGTAATAATAATAAAGGAAACTATTCTATTCAATTATATTTTTATCGTAATTATTATTAATTTTATTTAATGATAATAATTTTCATTTTTATAAATAGTTCCTACATTTATATGTTTTTGCTATGTATAAAAATAGCAGTCACTGAGGATAAAAACTGAGCATCTAATTTTCTAATTTCGTGCAATGTTTTTTTTATTACTAGTTATTCACAGTAGCATTTGAATAAAATTTGAAATTATTACAAAATATTATAATTAAGTTTTGAAAACGAGGTCAAAATTATTGATATGTTTACTCTTTAGACACATTTAAGTACACAATTAACGATGCAGAAATGATTTGCCTTTGTAATGGAAGCATAGTATTATTGTTTACTATAAAAAAAAATTTAAAACAAGACTGGCAACCTTATTGATTAAAATAAGATACACACGTTTTGATAACGTATTAAAATTTTTCGATAATCAGTCCATTTAGTAGTTAAACTGCCAAAATATAATTATAGCGATAATTTCTGAGCTTTGCAAAAAATGTAAACAAACTTGAAAATAGCGAATATTATAGATCTCAACTTAGAAAATTTATTTTTCCAAAATAGTTTGGGAAATTTCAGTTCTTCCCACTTCACAATCAAGAAATAGCTGGAAAATATCGCATATTACCAACTTAAATTTCGAAAATTTTCGAAATCGAAATATATATTCGTATATTCCGAATACCAATTTTCTTACCGAAGGCATGTAATCCTGCTTTAGTGATTTATTCGCGCAGATTTCAGAAATCAGTTGACAGCACGTTATAAGTTATCATTTGGCAAGCCTTGTAGCCATAAAAATTTGAAATTTATATGTTCATGCGCTAAATCTGGTGTTAATATGATAATTAGACAATTTGTACATGTTCACTTAAATTGTTTTTTTCTATTCTTAATTATAGAATTTTTGTTGTTGTTTTTTCTTCATTGAAATTCAATTATTTTTTTTTTTCGTTTTTATTGGCTTTTTCAACTTAGTTTTTTATACCCTGCACTGCGTGAAGGGTATATTAACTTTGGTATGGAGTTTGTAACTACTTGAAGGAGTCATCTGCGGTATGGACATATATATATATTCTTGCTCAGCGTAAAATTCTGCGTCGATTTAGACATGTCCGTCTGTCCGTCCGTCCGTCCGTCCGTCCGTCCGTCCGTCCGTCCGTCCGTTCGCACGATAACTCAAAAACGAATAATGCAATCGACACCAAACTTTCACAAGTTTTTTCTTTTGTGCCAAGGACGAGCCCTATTGTTATTGGACTAATTCGGACAACGGGTTCGGGTAGCTGCCATACAACTCAAAGAGTTTATTTTGAATATTTCAAAAACTAATAAAGCTGTAAATATAAAACTTTGTACACATGTGTCCAATTATATTCTACACATGCTCTAAAAATTATAATGGGATAGCTGCACCGGTTCGGGTGGCTGCCATACAACTCCAACAGCAAATTTTTTATATTCGGCAAAATAATAAAGTCAGATTCATGAAACTTGGCAGTCATGTGTCCAATTATAGGTCAAATATACTTCTGAAGTTTTAGAGGAATTGCTTTACAGGTTCGGGTACCTGCCATACAACTCCAGAAGCTAATTTTAAATATTTGGAAAAATAATAAAGTCAGATTCATGAAACTTGGCAGTTGGATGTCCGATTATAGATCAGATATATTTGTGAAGTTTTAGAGGAATTGCTTGACAGGTTCGGGTACCTGCCATACAACTCCAGAAGCTAATTTTAAATATCTGGAGAAATAATAAAGTCAGATTGATGAAACTTGGCAGTTGTGTGTCCAATTATAGGTCAGACATATTTCTAAAGTTTTAATGGGATTGCTTGACAGGTTCGAGTAGCTCCCATACAAGTCTTAAAGCTTATTCTTAATATTTGGAAAAATAATAAAGTCAGATCCATGAAACTTGGCAGTTGTGTGTCCGATTATAGATCATATATATTTGTGAAGTTTTAGTGGAATTGCTTGACAGGTTCGGGGACTTGCCAAACAACTCCAAAAGCATATTTTAAATATTTGGAAAAATAATAAAGTCAGATTCATGATACTTGGCAGTTGTGTGTCCGATTGTAGATCAGATATATTTGTGAAGTTTTGATGGAATTGTTTGACAGGTTCAGGTACTTGCCATACAACTCCAAAAGCTAATTTTAAATATTTGGAAAAATTATAAAGTCAGATTTATGAAACTTGGCAGTCGGATGTCCAATTATAGGTCAGACATATCCGTGAAGTTTCTATAGAATGACTTCACAGGTTCGAGTAATTGCTACACAATAACGAAAGGTGCAGGGTATTATTCAATCGGTTTATACCGACTGAAACGTTTTTACTTGTTTTTTTGTAATTTTAAATTAAAATTGTCTGGTTAAAACAGGTTAAAAAAAAAAATACCTATATTCTCATTTCATGCATGCACACACATACCTGAAATACAAATATTTCGGCAGTCGGCACTTTAAAATGCTTTAAATGTGTGCCGTATTATAAAATTATGATGAGTTAATATTGAAGTGCTTTTTTTAATGGTGAATTTTTATTGTAAAATTCTCTAATATGTGACAATTTATGTATGTATGGTGGTTAGGCTACTAGCTCATGTGAACCATCAAATGAGAGCATAAATAGGAAATATTAACAAATTTAATTTACAATTTTTTGTTTATTAAATTTTTTTTTTCGATATAATCTTTAATGCTCTCTATCTCACAAAGGTGAATTTATATAAAAATGAAGGGTAAAATTTTGTTACTGTTTTAAGTGTCCAATTAGTAAGTTGCATCATAATTCTTAAATTTAATTTGTTGCTAAATATGCTTTGGTTGTGGTATTGTAAAAAATTATGAGGAAAAGTTTACCAATTATTACTGCTGGGTTTCGTAATAATTGAGGTCGAAAATTGTTTGATTTCGTTGGGTTGTTTGCTAGATCATTTCTAGAATTATTTCACCACTGATTTGAGAATTAAATTCCACAAGTACGTTAAAATTAAAGCAGATTAGAAAATAAACATGCAATAAGATTCTTGCATTTCCATAAAAATTTTACCATAGTTAAATTTGAAATAAATTGAACTTTCAAATTTCAATAAATTTTTTGTTCAAATTAAAAAAAAAAACACTTAACTTTTATTTTTGTAAAATATTTTTTAATTTGTAATTTTGTTTTTTGTTATTTTCTTATAAAAGTTAGAAAAAAAATATTTTTTTTTTATTTTGGTTTTTTTCTTTGTTGGTTTTCTTTTTTTGTAATAAAACAATACTATTATATACATACAACTGTACTTAATTTAAGCACAAATCAAATTTTTAACCATAATATCCTCCGAATCCACCAAAACCTGGATATCCAAATCCACCAAATCCACCATATCCACCATAGCCAAAACGACGGAATCCACCAAATCCACCGAAACCACCGAAACCACCGTATCCACCATATCCACCATATCCACCAAAGAATTGACGTGTTTTACGTGGTGTATTTTCAACTTGTAAACTATCATCATTTGCACTAATTAATTCTCTTTGATTTGCATCTAATTCTGGTGATTCAGCTGGATATGCAGTAGCTAAAACTGCCAAAAATCCAAAAATTATAGCAAAAATGAATGTTGCACGCATTTTGTATGTTCTTATTTTTTTTTTTTAAATATTAACAAAAACTTTATTTAGATATTTTGAAGATGCTTAAATGAAGCGTTCAAAATCTTTTAATACTTTGAATTCTCGATATAATCTGGCAGGATATTTATATCAAAGATTTTCATTTAGAATTTATTTAATTAAAAAATTTATAAAATCATTAAAAATTCTTGAATTTTCTTGACTTTTGATAATTTTGTGACGTCAATTTTTGATTATTAAGTTAAGAGGGAAATATAAAAAAATTTTAGTCGATCAGACTAAATTATGGTATTTAAAGTAGCACATTTTCTTTTGAAAATTTGGTTCTAGAATTTGAAGCTGTCAGTAGTCTTAATTGTGAAAACAATCTATTGAAATAATTCTCTTGTTACCGTAAAATAGATTTTAAGTTAGAAAATTATTACAGGATAAGATGAGGGCTATTAAACTATTAAAACTAGGCTAATAAACTACTGGGTTCTAAACTAAATTCTGAATTATTAAAATACGGAAAAGAGGTGAAATACGATTAAAGAAATTCTTTCATTTCTATAAATAGTAAAAATTTGAAATATATTATTTAAGTTGCAGTTCAGGAGGAATGAAAAATCCAGTTTGAGAAAACAAGTGATTTGAAGTGTCAATTCAACATCCTGGTATTTGATTGCTTTTTTATAATAGAAGAAATAACTCCTGACCTTTTAGTTCAAATAATAAAGATTGTCTTGATGTGTGCCAAAGTTTTGTAAATAGACCATAGGAGGCGCTGCAGACAGAATAAAACTTACAAGTACATTCCGACCTAAAATTTTTTTTGACAACGTATCAAAAAGCAAGGTATTTGAAAGCAACACATAATTTCATATATTCAAAGAAGCTTTTTATTTTAGGCCTGGAATTACAAAAAAAAAAAAAATTTTTTTTCCAATCAAGAATTTCAAATGATTGGGTTTTTTGTTTTATCTCATTTTGCTTTACTTTTATTCAAAATCTTAAGGAACTTGTTTCTTAATTTTTTATATCTTACCACCAGCTTTTATTTCTAAAATAAGTTATGAGCATAAATAACTAAAAACAAAAGAACAAAATTAATTTAAAAAAAAAAAAACAACTTCTTCAATTTATGTATTCGATTGGTTCAATTAGAATTATAAACATAAATTTAGTTCATCCAATAAATTGACACCAAAATTACGTTATAAATCATGACTATTAAAAAATTTGGATTAAATAATAAAATTTATGGTGTTGACAAAATCATCATAACTTTTGAAACAGAATTCTATTGGAAATTATAATTGAGAAATAAATGAAAGTAAATTATAGAATAATTCTAATTTATTGTAGAACTGAAAGAACTGGTTAACAATAATGAAAATCGTAAATTTTTTCAAATGAAAGGAGTGAATTGATTTTCAAAGCAAATGTGTGGCATCAATTAGGTTTTGTTAATTTTTAATGGTATTATTCCACTTTTCAAGATTTATATTTCATTAGAACGAATTATTATTTTGATGTGACCATCTAGAATTCTCAAACCATGTTCTTTTGCGAGTTATGTTACATAATAATAAATTGCAAGTAATCCACTTCGTTCCAATATGTTGTTAATTAAAATAATGCGGGTCAAATTTAATTAATTTTCTTGGTAAAAATTTTCTATATTAAAATCTCGAAAATGAAGAACTGGTCACCTTATATTTTTTACCTACTATTTTTAATTATTTTTGATTTCAGATAAACACAATTTTAAATTTAAGTTTTACGAATATTTTAAATCCTTAAAATTTTATTGCCAATAAATGTTTTGCTACACAATTTATTATTTCAGTTTTAAAGAACTTGAATTTATTATACCAGTTGAACACATAAACATTATATAACACATATGCACTTTTAAAATAAATGATTTTTATTTGTGTTTGTTTTTTGTTTTTTTTTTTGTATATTTCTATACAATCATCATATTAAATTTATTCAAAATTATCACAATACAGAAACAGAATAGAAATTAATTTTAATTTATAACAACAATTTTTTGTTACCAATATCCACCGAATCTTCGAAAACCAAATCTTCGAAATCCACCATATCCACCCCATCCTCCGTATCCACCATATCCACCATAACCACCACCCCAGCCACCACCCCATCCACCACCATATCCACCGTATCCACCATATCCACCGAAACCACCAAAACCGAATTGACGTATTTTACGATCTGATGAATCATGATCTGTATCATCTGCATTCACTTCATATAACACTTTATAATTATTATCATTTTCATCAGAATCAGCTTCAGAAATTGTATATGCAGTAGTTATCGAAAAAATAATCCCAAATAAAATTACAAATGCAAAAATTAATTTCATTTTTTAATTAAATTTTTTTTTTAATCGTAATTTTTATAGAAATATTAGAATTTTCGGCTTTTGGATTTTAACTGTATGAATTTTATTTTAAATATAAAAAAAAATGATTTTTTAAAATGGTATTTATACTTGAAATTTTATGTGAATTTTAAGTGAAAATTGAAAATTATTTTGTTTTTAGATGAAGGAAAAACCTTAAAAAATGGAAAAAGAAATAATCCAGGCAACTATAAGCTAGAAAAATTGCTTAGTTACGCTCACAAAAATATTTTAATAACGTTAAATAAAAATTTACGGGATTTTACAATTATTTTGTTATGAACGTGAGAGCGATAATGCAAGAGAACGACGTTACTCATCATGTTTAACAGTCTCATCTCACGCTCATGTTTGCCTATTAAATTACTCGATTTGTGGTTTTTATTAAATAAAACAATCGAAACGGCGTCTCCTGCCTCCTTCTTCAAAAAGTGAAAATAAATGTGCTTCTCTTGAAAGAGCAGTATTTAAGAGTAAATAAAAATAAATTTAACAAAATATTCTCAAAAATATATCGTAAATCGTATGATTATTAACATTTGAATCGAGAGTCGATTTCGATATGTTGCCAATATAACACAATAGTTATGCACTTGCTATACATTCTCTAATTATAACGCTTAAATTATATTGTATTAACTGTTATACGTTTTTGTTTAATTAACATAGAGCGTTTTTATATATATATATATATAAAAATAATTATATAATCTCTATATGCATTTTTGCTATTAGGAAAATCAAACAAATTGTTATTTCAATTTCTCTTTCAAGGCTTAAATGAGAATGTAATGCTGAAGAATGTACTCTCTCTCTCTTAGAGTGTGCGTTCTTGCTAAAGTATATTCTCAGACTGCCATTTATTAGTTGATATAGCAGCCTAAAATCGGTAAAATACTGTCACTTGTCAATGTCAAATTAAATCATAAACGAAAATTCAGTATTAGACTACCTTAAGAATATTATTTTGATAGGTAGACTATAATTAAATTAGCACCACGAGTTTAATTCTATTTCAGTTTTTTTTTCCTTTAAATAAAATTTTACGCTTGTAAATTTTCTTTAAAATTATTTTTTAAAGAAAATTATCATAAACAAAAAATACAAGAGGCTGACTAATAATTTGCATGTGTAAAAAAAAATAAAAAAAAAAAATTCCTTGATTTTATTCAAAAATTCTTCCATTATTGTTGATTTATTCTTTTGTCTTCAATTAATTTTCATTTAGCATTAATGGTTTTATTTCTTTGTTACACAAGCGCAAATTCTTACCCATATATACATATAACATATTTATACTATTTTGCAGATATAAGAAATTCAATAGTATTAATAATAAATTATGAGTCCATTAAGCTTTTCTACACGCACGCTACGATTAGAGAAAAAGCTTATGTGCGTAAGTTTAAAAAAAAAATTCCATAAAAATTTTGTTTTTTTTTTTTTCTCTAATTTTATTTGTACAATTTATTTACAAATCACACTGTATACAAGCAAACAAAGAAAGTCTTAAATTTTAACCATAATATCCACCGAATCCACCAAAACCAGGATATCCAAATCCACCGAATCCACCAAATCTTCTAAAACCAAAACGACGGAATCCACCAAATCCACCGAAACCACCGAAACCACCATATCCACCATAACCACCAAAGAATTGACGTGCTTTACGTTCTGTTCCATCATGTTGTGGAGCATCAGCATTCACATCATATAATTCACGTTCATTATTATTTTCGATTGTTTCATCGGCTGGATATGCGACAACTACAACAATAAGAGCCAATAATATTCCAAAAATTATTGTTGAACGCATTTTGAAAAAAATTTTGAAAATTTCAATTTGATTTTACTTCTTTGAATGTTAAATTTATTTTGATATAAATTTGAAAATTGTTCAACATATTTATATACTGAACTTGTTTTGTGAACGATCTAACTTGCAAGATGACTCTATTCGACTGTATTCTATCATTGAGATGAAATGAAATCATGTACTATCACAAAAGTACGCATAGTTTGTTTCTTTTTTTGTTAAAAGTTCAAACAGATAAAATGAAAATATATTGACCCCTTTTAAAAATTTTATAATTGTGTTATAAAAATATTATGGACTCAAAAATTATAAATTAAATTTAATTATTTATTATATACTAGATGTAATCCTGAAAATAATCATTTTACATTCATTCATAAAAACAAAAAAAAAAACAATCAACAAAACAACTTGACCACCAAGAAGGAACCAAAAATGACAGAAGGAGAGAGAAAATCACAATGGTTTAATCATTCAAAAACCGGAAATATAAAAATAAATAAATAAAAGAGTGTTAAAACTGCGACTAATTTAAAATCTAATTTTATTGTCTAATTTATTATATTATAGAATAATAGAAAAAAGGTAAGAATTTAGATCTTTAAAATGATTTTTTTTTTATTTTGATAAGTATTTGAGATAAAAAAGAATAAACAAAGAAATATTAAAATTATGACGTTTAGAATTCATTTTGGAAATACCAAAAATTTCTGCTAAACAATACTATGATTACATATTTTATTTAAGAAATCTTGAAATACAGCAAAAAAAAGAATGTTGCGGTCTAATTTTAAATTCTAATAAGATTTTTTTTTCTTATTTACCTCTGCGGTTTGATTTTGGCTGAAAACAATCTATAAATTGTTCAAAATTTTATCGTCAACAATATAAAAGTGACTTTTCAATAACACAAATGTCATAATTGTCACATTCTCTAATTATGTTTATATTTGAATGACAAATAGTTTGACGTAAACTCGAATGAAATCAAAAATATTTTCAAATTTTGTTTTTTCTTTATTTTGCGTGCCTATGGTTTTTTAATTACTGTGTTTTAAAAAAAAAATCATATGTCAAATTGGAAATTGAACAAATTAATCTGCATAAATTTTTTGTCAAATTTAGTTTACGTTGGTTTCGGAATTTGTGACTTTCATATTCCATTCTTTGTATTTTTCCAGAATCTTCTGTATGTCATAAAAATCTAGCGCGTTGTTGTTATTGTCTGAGATTATTGTACTTATTGAAAATCATCTTTTTATAATCCACATACACACATAGCTGATACGTACGCAGATTTATGCAAGTATTTTCCAGATTTAAAAGCAATTTTTTCTTTGATTTCAGATTTTCGTTCTGAAATTGGTTCATTTTAACTTAAAATTGTTTTAAATCCGCACATCCTTTTTTAATTAAACTAATAGTAATCAACTTTTATTGTACTCTTTATGTGTTCAACGCCATTAATGTTAAACAGTCTCACGCTCATGTAACCCCAAATTCAAAATTGACCTCTTGAAATGAAATTGACCTTTGTTTGAGCATTACATTTTACCAGAACTTTTACCTTTATTACTTGTTAAGGATTTATTTTTTTCTATTTTTTTAACTTATTTTTTTTTATTTTTACCAGAAGATGCTAATTGGTTGTGTCATTAAGAACTTTAATGTTTTTCTAATTGAAAATTATAGTAGATAATTAGAAATTTTAAGAATAAGTTTTTGCTTATCTTTGAATAAAAAATTTGGTCTTTTAACACTTTTAAAGAATTCCAAAATTAAATCTCATTTGAAAAAAATATTTGATGTGGTCATCACATATTCGATCGTTTTTAGATTACACACTTTTGAAGAACTAAAACAGAGTACACCCGCTAGTAGTGCTCAAATGTGGGCTTCACCTTTCGGCAAAGTCCCATAGCCACTCCATGTCCTGAGCGCTGTTGATTTCCCTCTCAATACTTGGTCGACCCTAACATAACCAGGCTTTGAATTCCTGTGTTACTTTATTCGCAATAGTCTCTTCACAGCCTCCTTTTTAAGATGAACATAAAGCGGAGCCATGCTAAGATAACCTTAGAACGTCCAGTTGCGTGAAAGCACGCGTCATAACCTTTCCGGCTACAATATGATAGAAGAGCATGATACAATTGGTGGCAATGATAGTGTAGGACCATTTAAGGTGTAAGACTCCATGTCTCCAGAAGTCCGAGATGCTCTATCGACAACTCCTTTTAGATAAGGTCTCTAGTTCAGTTGCTAATGTAGTATAACTGCCAGATATTTCATCTCCTTGGAAGGCTCAATAATTGTAATTCTCGAGGACACCGAAAGCAGACTTCCGTTATCTAGTAAATGGTACAATAACTGCTTTGTTTAATTGTAAGGCCCTCAGCTTGTATTTATTCGCTCAACTACGATGTCATCACGCTGGCCTCTCACATACCGGCGACTAAATCATAAGCGTAGCCTTTCACATTATTCCGCTATTAAACAGTTCAGACTTATTCAAAATTTAAAATGAAAGTGGTTTACTATGTCATCCGTACTAGGTCATTACTAGAAATCTTAAATTAATTCCTGGCTCAAATTAATAGAAAGTGAGTAGAAACTTTATTCGATCACAATACCCGTCTCATTTTATTCAATGTTTCCAGTAATTATTCAAAGATAACAAATTTAAAATACATACTAGACATTCGAATAGTTATAGAAAATATCTCATGATATTAATATAATTTTTTCCCAATACAAGATGGATAAATTTTTTAAAAATATATAAAAAAAAAAGAACTTTCTTAACAGGTTTTTCTAAACTTTTAAACGACAATTTTAAAAAGAACTTTTTTCATTGAAGCCTTCAAAATGTTATTAATTTTTTTTTTCTTTTAAATAATCTTTTTGCTAATTAAAGATTGATAGAGAAGCGAGCAACATTTTAAAAAAAATGGCGATAACACAAAAAAAAGTAAACATCAATTTTCACCTTGAACTTGAGATGAAATATTGCTTTGTGAGAGAAGGATAGAGGCAGAAAAATAAAAAATAAACAAAAAGCAAAACTATATAAACAATAAAGTTTGTTGGTTATTTTGTCTGACATCATGAAGATGAAAAATTTGGTACATGAATTGAAGCTGAGGTGATAAATTTTTTATTTTAGAATTTCATTTTATGGTACTC